GCTCTTCCGATCTTTAGTGATACAAGATATTAAAGTATTGAATTTTCAGAGTTTTTTAAATTAAAAATAATTGACCATTGAAATACTGACAACACGAATTGATACGAGAATTATTTTAATTGTAACTTTAAAATTAATTTCTTTTTATTTTATTTTCTGACCTCGATAGAATCTCTTGCGTTTTATGTAATTAATTAATTACTTCGTAGGAAATCGCTTGACGGAGGCAATGGATCCTGACATATTTCGAAACAATCCAGATTTAGCCGTAATCCATTTAGAAGATAATCCATGGAGGTGCGACTGTGCACAACTCTACGTCACCTTTGAGTACTTAACGGTTCCTTCCCCCAAAATTGTGGGATCGACTCTGATTTGCCAGAGTCCGGCGAACGTTTCCGGCTACTCGTGGGAAGCCGCATGTTTCGACGCGTGGAACACTGATATTTATTACAGCAAGGACAGAACTTGGGGAATGGTTATGATCAGCTTACTCATCTTAGTCGTTCTGTGTGGCAGTGTGATATCAATTAAGCACACTTTAAAGATAAAGAGAAGAGTCCTCGAGCAGAGGCAAAGGGAATTAGCAGAAGAAAGAGAAAGATTACGACTTTTGCAAAGGAGGTAAGATACTGTGCGTCGCTTGAGTAAAATCGATACGCGTACGTGCTGCGTCAGTGAAGACGCACGATGATCTTTATGACAATAAGCGGGATTAATGTTTGAGTAATTTAATATTCGTGTTGCGTTTATATTTTTAACGTGAATAAAATTAATGTTTAAGATGTAAGCTATAAGGAACATGAACATCTACCTGCAACTGATAAGACAGATATCTGCCTAGAACTGTAAATTTATATCACAAGTTCACAAGTTGGTATATTAATCATCTCTTAAATTAAGTGATATCAAAGAGCGCGTTACCGACATGTAATCATATTTTTAATATTTAATAGAAGTATTTTTTAAGTATTTTTGCTACTTAACAAAATTTTCTAAATAAATGTATATTGCAAGAATTTTACAATTATCAGTTTTTGAAATTTTATAGAATAAATGTGTAGCGTAAAAATTTTTTTCAATTATATCTGTCTCAAATTCTAAATTGCACTATCAATAATACACCGTTTCTAGCTACAAGAATATATTGCAAGAATTTTACAATTATTAGTTTTTGAAATTTTATAGAATAAATATGTACCGTAAAAATTTTTTAATTTTCTATCTCAACCTCTAAATTGCACTATCAATAATACGTTTCTAACAAGAATAGCACGATGAAATGAAAGGCTCTATTTGACCGTATTTCCAGGAACCAGCGTTTAGAAGAAGAGGTAGAGGAACTGGAGACAGAGGAGATCAGAATTAATCCTCTAGAACTAGTCGGTCCACCTAGCTACGAGGAAGCGGTCCAGATGCCGAGACTAGCTCACTCCATGGATGCATTAAACGAGATCTCCATCGAAAACGGCACTTTGCGCTCCATAAATTCCATGGATAATCTACGGACAAAGAAGAGAAGAACGAGGAGACCTCGTAAACGGACGCAGAGCGAGGACGATCTGCTGAGACGGGAGGAACGCCGGCAGGAACGAATCAGAAGAGAGCGGAATAATTCCAGCGGCAACATATGCGACACGGATCAACAGCATAATACGAATCCCAGGAATCCTAGGACTTCTTCGGCGCGCAGATCCAGGAGGCACAGCGTCGTGGATGAGGTTATCGAATCGAGCAGTAGCAAAGACAGACCGAGGCCGCAAACTCCCACCTCGAGGAGAAGAAAAAGAAGACAAGTGTTCAGAAACGAACATGTGACCGATGACGAAGATTCCGACGTTCAAGCAATAAGTTCGAACCGATCCATTGTCATCAAGGAACTCAAACGAGAGCCCAAGGGCGGTTGTAGGGAATCATTCGTGGAACGGGAGTAAACTATTCGTTTCATTCGTGAATTTATTCCAAAGCGTATGATAAATATTTTTTTTTAGTACTTTAATAAAAATTTAATAAAAATGTAGGAAATGAGAGGAGGAATGTAGATTTTTAATTTTCTTAATGCGTAATTAATGTTATGTCGCCCACTCCGCGCAAAACGTGGCTCTCTAATTTCAAAACTTATTTCCCAGAAAGTCGTCTTGGAATGGTACGATCGGCGTTTAATCAACAGGGTGGGTACGGATCCATGATAACACACTTCGGCGCGATAATATTACGACGGTTTTATCTTGTCAAACCGGTTTTTTTCCCCCGTGTTAAATACACATATATTGCCCAAGGAAGATTAGTAATCAAGGAAATGACAAATGAACCGGCGAGCCAATAGTAAAAGGTTTACTCTGAAGAAGAGCAAAAGTACGAGCGTCTTCTTGGAACACTGTCTCCTCCGTCGAGATTCTAGCTCGTAATAACGCCGAGATTACCGGTTCGAATGCAGCGCAGGCGCGCCGATCTCGAATTACGGTAATTTCTTGTCAATCTAAAAAGAATTAAGATACTTCAAGATTATAGTTATGAACTAATTGTGTATCATGTTAATGTATCATTTGCGACAATAAAAGGGGCGGTGAACGGCAATACGTGCAGTAGATTATAAATAATTAGATCGTTATATATCTAGTGGAATTGAATAATACCCTAGTATAATTCATTGCACTACAGCATAATGGGCGTTTCACTTACGATTTTATCGGCTACCTGTGTGGCAATGGTTGCTTATTAAGAAAAAGATATAAAAAATGTTTAAGACTTGTAAATTTTCATTTAAGTTCACACGATTTAAATTTAGAAAGAGATATTAGAGTTATATTTATATACATACATGTATAGGATATTAATACAAAAAATATTTATTTGTATTTCTTCATTACTTATTTTTTTCTTTTGCGAATATCGGTAGTCGCGACGCGACTTGCCTCGCTTCTTTTAGGAGCAGGATGTCGTCGGGGTAATTATGTAACAAGTAAAAGAAATCACACGTGATATTGGTGACGTGTTCGAGAGTACGCGAACAAAGATTGTCCGTGACACACGGTTAAAGTAAATGATGATATCAACAAAATAACACTCTCTTTTATTGATCAAAGGCTGAACATATATAAATAAAGACTTACTATCTTCACTGAGTTCCTTACTTTATCTAAGCTAAATTAAATCCGACGATGCGTTATCGTTGGGACAAGTTTCGATCTCTAACGGGGAGGATCCGCGCTATCTTAAAATTAAATCATATACGCCGTGACAGCACATTCGACACATTTTGACTTAAAGAATCGTACGTAAAGGTATAATAATATGAATAATATGATAACCCGTTCGCGGCGCTCCGTCACGCTGCGCACAGCTACAATACGTGAAGCGTCGCATTTAACTGATAATCACGCGACGGAGTGCCGTCGCACGCATACACGAAATCTGTCCGCCTCTCAGTTTGCGCCGTGCGCAACGAATAAATACGTTAATGCACATGAAAATATCGCGAGTCATGTCACCTTTCTGAAATGTGCGCCACTGAAGGTCGCGAGAGGGGGTCGTGTTCCGCTATACAGGAGGGAATAATATGATAACAGAATATTACGTATATATTTTCTCTGACGTGAATAATGGGTTCTATGATATATTAGCGGTATTGTCAAAATCATTCATCGCTCGCAGCTCCGTCTACTACAAAAGCTGTCCCAAAGGTCATTATTCATAATTGGCAAACTCTATCTCTCATTGAATTACAAATTCCTCCGCGTCCAAACCGCGGTGTCACACTTAAAACGCCGCGCTAAAAACTACGAGGTACGCGTTGGCAAACAATCTGTGATATATCCGATCGAAGGACGGCGTGAGGCCGTCGCGGTGTGTGTATTAATCTTCGATGTGTAGAAAAATATGGCATAACTGGAATGCTCATCGACGCCTGACGTGCGGCGAACATTTCGTCGATCCTCGAGTAATCGAAGGATCCTCGCGATGCGATCTCGCGCGAGAATGCGAATACCGCGGGACTCCCGATGTCCTCGCTCTGGCTCGCTCGCGGGACACGCGAGACTTCCCGTTAGGAAGACTGACTAGTGTACTATAGTGTTAACTTTGAACATAACTCCATCCGCGGATTCCTATGCGTATGGCGTAAATACAGGATGTCCGAAATGCATTTTTGTTCAATTAAATTAAGAAGACAAGGTAAATGTGTTGATAAAAGGAGAGCTCGTGATTTGTAAGCGATAAAAATCGCAAGATTTCGACAATGGATTCAAGATTAGAGAATGTAAATCTTTATTTACTCTTTACTTCTTGAAATCGTTTTTAGCAGCAATTGATAATTTCTATATATTCATCTATTTACTTCATTTATATGTATGCAAAGTTTCGTAAAAATTAGAATTTACACCTTTATGAGGTGTATCCTTATAAGACATAATCAAACAGAATGAATGATCGCCGAAATAAAAAAGAATACGCGATATCCGAAGGACAGTCCGCACAGCATACGGTTTCAGCAAATATATACATATAGCGTGTCGTGTGTCCGATTGTTCAACAAAACGGCCCGAGGTTACAACTGTCCCTCGGCCACCTTTCGCACACTTTCAGCTTCCTGCCGAAAACAATAGTCCCTTAGCCACTGTCGTGTATGGTCTTTGACTCGGTAATCTTTCCTTATCACGAAAATCCATCGCGAGGAGTCAATTTGCGTGCAATCCTATAGGAACAACAGCGTTATTATAAATCACATCAGGGACACGTCGCATTCGTAAAAAAAAAAAAACTTTTCATTCCCGCACATATTATTTGTCTCTCGATCTCCTACATTCGACAGACGTAACACGTCGGTCGGTCGATACAATGTTCGCTATCTCGTGTAGATTCTCTTCCCGGGACACTGCTTCATGGCGTCTTGACTAGATTCTCACCAGCCATTGTTCGCGTGATGAGTATAGGCGTCTTTGGCACACTGTCGGGAATCTCCTGCAGAGTGATCTTCACTCTTTGAGCCCCGGGGCTGAGCGGTGGTCCATTAGTTGTCTCCGAAAGATGTGGCGTCGGTCCATTGGTCGTCGGTATCGTTGAAGTGGAGGGCTGCGGGTTTCTATCTTCCAGGAAGTTTTTCTTCAGGGAATTCACGTCCACGCGAGGTCTCTCCTCTCTCGCCTCGCCGTCTTGCGAAATTGCATTTTCGTCCTGCGAAAGTTGCTTCCTGGGCGGCTTCACGGGTTCCGAATGATCGACAGTGCCATTGAGTCGCGGCGCTTCTTGCGCTTGATAGTCATCATCGTGAATCTCGTCAATCTTCGCGTCGTCGCCAGTAGGTCTGGCCTTCACGAGAGGATCGCTCTCGAGTTCCGTTACGTAGGGCGAGGCGTCCTTCTTCGGTTGAGTCGAATTTTCACCGTGCTCCAGAAGAGACTTCTGTATCTCCTTCAACTCAGTGCCGGTCTCTACATCGGGCGGTTTCCTCTTCCTACATATCTCGCCTCTGTACGCGGCGAAACCGATCAGCGCCGCCACTATGGCGAGCAGAACGGCTAGAACGACGTACGAGCCCATGCCCTTCTTGGATTGCTTAGGTGAAGATACTGCTTGTTCGTTGTTACCTCTGTCCATGATATTACCAGATTTAGAATCGTCGCTCGTGTTAGATGTCATCACTAATACGTCGCTGGCTTTAGGATTAGGCGATATGGTGTCCGTGGAAATCTCGGTGGTGATTTTATCAATTTCGGACTCGACCGAATGGACCTTGGGTACGAGCGGCTCCTCAGTGGCCAGTTTAGTCGACGACACGTTTATAAATTGCTCCTCCTCAAGATCTAGGTCTTTAGGCTTCGACGTAGTCGCGGAAGTTCCCGTAAAGCCATCAAGAATATTCCACACATTACTCAACACATTAGTTACCGTGAAAAGTGACGACTGCTCATTGGAATCATCGCTATCTGTCTTCCCAGTCTCTTCTTCATCGTAATGCGTTCCGGTGGCACCAGACCCTTCGCCGGAGCCTTCGTCCCCATCGCCGGAACCCTGGGTTGGATAAAACAAGGCGTCCTTAATGTCCTTCTTCTGCGACATCTCGGTCGTGGATGTTTGATCCTTCTTGTCTTCGTTTTCGAAGAAAATTTCCCCGTCCTCAGCGCTATGTTGCAAGGAATTCGTCGTTGCGCTGGTAGTGATCGCCACCTTCGAAATGGAGGATTCTGTCGTAGAATCTATATTCGGAAGAGGTGTCTCGATTTCTGGTTCCTTCGGCTTTTCCGACGTGCTATTATTGACCTCTTCCTCTTCCTCCTCTTCACTGAACCCGTCCAAATCTCCAGATCCCAGATCCGAATCCCCAGATCCCTGCGCTTGATCGTTCTGCATTTCCCGATCCTGCTGCTCGAAGCTGCAGATAATCGCCGCGGTCGGCTTCATCAGCGACGTGCCCTTCATGTTGCCGGGACCCGCGCACACGACCTTCTTCGATATCATCACGCCCCTCTGCGCGATAAGATCGCGGACTTTGAGGGTGGCGCAGTTGCACTCGAGCGGATTACCGTGAATGTCTAGATGCTTAAGATTCTTCAGGCGCGCCAGCGCGGGTGGCAGTTGCTGGATGACATTCCTCCGCAGATTCAAGCTTCGGAGATGGGTCAAGCCCTCCAGGGAACCTAGTTCCAGATACTCAATGCGATTGTCGCCGAGATTGAGACTTTTCAAGTTATTTAGAGTTCGAAAACTCCCTGGTTCGATCTTCTTCAGATCGCCGTCAGACAGGTCGAGATGCCTAAGGCTAGTCAGATTATCGAAGAGGCCCAGAACTAAGACGTCTTGTGCGGCCGGAGCACTCAAGGACTCCAGACCGTGCGTCTCGATCTGCTCGAGGTCCTTCAGCTGGTCGCACCACGCCGCGGTGCGATTTTCCAGCTTGCAGAGCCCGTGAGTCCATCCCGAGTGATACAGAAGGATCAGGAGGAACGACAGCAAAGGCGGCGCTGCCTGCATCTTTCAATCTGATTTATCTACAACAAAAAAGGCGCATGTGAATATCGCTCGTCGACAATGTGACACGCATGTGTTTATCGTTCGTGATCAGTTTTATGTTACGCGATGAATATTTATAATGAGAATAGCAATGAGATTCGCATCTCGAAGATGAACGGATTACGCAGCTCAGCCGTGTCAAGGACGAGTAAGAACGTGTCACGTGGGGCGTTCGTAACGATGATTATTAGTATTTTCGAATGTTAACTCTGTGCACCGTCGAAGTGAACGTTGCGAAATGACAGATCACCGAAAGAAAGTCAACGGCGGCAGGTAGAGCAGTGGACTTTTAAGAGCTAAATTGGATGTACGCGCACTACGATATCTGTAAGCTATCAAAGATAAGCATTTGTCGGAAAGTATGATACAAAGTGTGCCGACTAAAACGAAGCGTTATTCATCGCTCGCCACTTTCCGGTATAACATTTCGTAATAGCGAGCGAAACCTATTACTTATTATGGCCATTACGTTATACTTTAATATCCGTAATCACATACGCGAAAGATCGTAATTTTCACGGTCTATTCAAGCAGACCGTGAAGGAAAGTAATGAAAGTAAAACGTCCCGGCTGGCTTAACACAGAAATGATTATCTAATGCCTGTAATTAGTACGCACACGCCCAGCCTGACGGTAATTACCACCGTTGTAGCACCTGCAAAACATCCAAGTCGATCCGAGCCTCGCGCGTGATACATTTGATACTCAATTATGCCGGCCAGGCCTGAAAATCGATGGCGAAACGCTAATAAACGCCGGCCATCCAGGCAAACCTTATCGGAATATTATCATTGCCTCGGCAATCGTCAATGTAGGACTGCAGATAAGGAGGCGGTACTGTTTGTACGATAAAGTAAGAGTTAACTCATGAAAAGGTATGACGATCATTAGGGGCTTAATATTTCTGTTAGCCGCTATAGCAACTCGCACATCTCGTTCGGCACGCACTGCACGCAGAGATCAGTTGTACATAAATATGAATTTGTCATCGTGTCGTCAATCATTGTACTGTAAAAATTTCATTTACCTTTCCAAGTAAGGAATACTATTTGTTTTATTTGTTGAGCCATACATTCCGAAATTCAAGAGAGCGTAAAATACGTTTATTTACGAGCGTTTTCCAATTATTGACTACAGTTTAACGAAAGATATTCCCCTTATATCAATATGTGCAATAATTAAATGCAGGTTAAAAAGAAATGCGAATGTCAAAGTTCCGCGCATACTAAGATAGCCGTTCTATGAGAGCCGTTTCTATCTAACTAACCGCTTAAAGCGAGGATCGTCGGGTTGAATGAGGAAAATTTATCGGTTGGACAAGCCTCTTTTTCGCCATCTCAAATACCTCTTCGGACCGCTACACCACCGACACAACGGGCGTTCTATACATAGAGCGACGCAGGGCAAGCAGTTTCGGCATGTCATTTGCATTATTTTGCATACTGTCCGCGGTATCGGCATAACGGTGACGTCATTTCCATCTATAAACAGCGAGTAAAAGAAGGAAAGAAAGGCGATGGTTCGCGCGCCGCGATCACCGTAACGAACGTGCATTGAACTCGCATGACCGATCGTAATCACGTTAATTGGCCGGCTGCATGCGCGATTCGACGATGGGTGCATTTCTTACGCGTTAATAACTCCGGGGCCGCGGGATTGAAATAAATGTCCCTCGCTATCAGCGAGATAAAGCAAATAATGGATTCCATTGTGCTTGTTAAAGATACCGATAAGCCGATACCGATTTCTCGCCGTTGCGTAACCGGCCGGGCTGCGCCCGGATCGAAATTGCGCGCGCTCTCACCTCTCACGATTAACGATCAACCGCATTATTAATGAAAGAAAAATTAGTAAGGCAAATTAAATTAGTATTACCCGGGAATACATATTGCGTAAATATTATATTACGTGATAATCGGCTAACAGATGAACAGTAACCAATAATACAATAAAAAGACGTTATATTTTTCATACATTCAATGCATTACGATCTCGAGAAAATTTCTAGGAATTTCGCAATATGTAATTAATAATAATGTGCAAAATTTCACGCAATTTCACTATCTTTTATGTTAAAGATTTGCAAGGCATTATGCTTTTTGTACGTAAAACGAATCTTTAACAAAATAATAAAAAAATCAAACTGTTCCGTCATTTTACCAAAACAAAGGATGAGTGATCTGCATTTTCCGGTTTAATCTTTGAACGGACGTAATGCCCTCCAAATTTAATGCATGGTGCAATGTAAAACACGCTTCACGTAATCGCGTGGGTGGAGGCAGGTCATGGCCAATGGGTCCGAGATCTCGGGGAACGATCCGCTACCCCGCGCTTCGGAGATGCGCGTCCACACTTTGTGTAATCAATATGTGTGTATGCGTGCGTGTGTGAGGCTTGCGAAGAGGTACTTCCTGTAATTCTACGAACGGGGCTTTCGCATGAAAGTGATATGGTGTAGGGATGTGCCACGGCACGGGCAGTGACGCGCGAAAGCTTTTTTTCAAGCTCAACAAGCCTGGCTCGCTGAAAAGAAGGCGAGACTCGCACGTTTGTATAATCGAAAATAACGATGACAAAGAGTTACGTCCTTTCATTGGCAAGAGATGCCGTTTAAAGTTACGTCAACTCGTTTACGTTTTGCGAAATCAATAACGATGCTAATTGCAAATACAAACATGGTAGCTAATTGCAGAAAGTCGGTCAGTAAAAGGATGTATTATCAACTTATCTCTCATGCAACAACAGAATTTTATTTTACCGGTTAATTCCGATAAATCATCATCACATTAATCGGATATTAATCACCAATAATCGTGATAAAATGTTATTATTACGATCATGAGAAATTACGTTTATCCTCCTCCCCACGTGTCACGCGATCGATATATAGAATCTTAATCGGTACTTACGATTCGTTTGCTCAGACGTGGTTTCGGCAACACCGTGATCTCGATGGCATCTGCAACACACACACGAAACAGAACGGATAAATTCCCACGTTAAGTATATTCCTTGATTGAACGCTATTCAGCAACTGGACACTGATGTATCGATGAGATCAATGATCGTTCGATCATCAAACAAATATTTAATGGAAAATAAATTACGACGATTGGCATAAACAAACGACAAATTAATTCGCGACGATCAATCAGGACCTTCCCTAATGCGTGTGCTTCAAGCATCGCTTCTTCATTTCTTCCACACCGCCACTTTACGCAGCATTCGTCTCTCGAGTGGCGCGCGTAATCGCTTTTATCGCGCGCGTGAATGTCCGCGAGCGTGCGTGAGCCGTGGAAAGTTGTTTGCGACGGATTCTCGCGGTGTAACAGCAGTATCATTTCGCGCAGGAATTTCACGTGTTCGCATTCCCGGCCAGTAGCGTGTATCTACCTACCCACCTATATACCTACCCACCGCGATAATCCGCTCCCGAGTCGATTTGCTCGCCGGGGCGTTAAATCGCCCAGGATTTTCTACGCGACGGCTACACTTTCGTTCTCGTTTCTCTCTTTGCCCTCCCCCTTTCCTCTCCTCGCCAACGTTGCGCAAGATTCGTCTCGCGGATTTTTCCCATCCTGTCTCCCCGTCTACGCCGCTGACTCACTTATGCGTACCGACACGAGATTTCTAGTCCTTGACTTTCCGGCCCCGGGTGTTCGTCGCGACGTTATTACACGGCGGTCGTAATTATTATTATTATTATTACGACACGCGTCTATTTCCCCTTCACCTCCATCACCGGATCTTTTCTTTTATGGTCCGCATCTTTCTCGGTTTCGTAATCGCGCCGTTGCAAAACGTCTCGCGTGTGCTAGATTCGGCACGCCGTTTCTCGAGTTCAAAGAGGCAACGTCGATTACGTCGCACGACGTCGTGACATTACGTACATTAATGGAGCTTATCGTCGACGCCAGATATGGGTAATTTCTTCGTTTTAATTGACAATCCGTGCGCAGATAATAACGCATCACGCTGAATTATGAATAACTGAAGTGAAACGACCGAGAGATTCTTCTTTTAACTAGAATAATACATTCTGAAAAAAGAATCTCAATCAAAGATATACGTAATCGAATCTTCCAGTTGGTCATTTGAATCAAAATGAGATTTGTGTTTGCAGAAAAAAATTTAATTATTTACTTACTTAAATATTTAATTATTTTAAGGCTGCAGTCGAGTACTGAGAACTTTCTCCAAAATGTTTGACAAAGAAAAGTCGACTTTCCAGATTCGAAGGACGTTTTGCATACGCAAGTACTTTGCGCGCGGCCGCGCGCACTCTTGCGCGAATTCAGCAGAAAATTCGTAACGAGTGGTGCACCGAGCACGTACACGCCTGGTTTGGTTACGGTTCGCTTTTTGCCGACTCCGTTTCTTAACGGTACCGACACGTACCTCGTGGTCCAGTTCACCGGGGGGAGCCCGGCGATTCGAGGAGCCATCCCGGCAGGTCGTACACCTCTCCGTACGACGGGAGGAAGTTAAAAGCGGGTGTGCGGAAACATCGCTTGCTTCACACCAGCGATTCGTATTTTAATACGTCCGTCTGTTGGCCCTGATCACGCGATCCTTATTTATTCTAATTTAGCCTCATTAACTCGTTTCGTGCGAAAGCACAGCTGTGACGCGAGGACATCGGTATTCGATTATGCTCTTGTCGATGTTCTCGCGTTTCCCGTGAAATTTATCGTTGAGCTTATCGATTATTAATTTATTCATTAATTCGTCGATGGATTCGCCACTCAAAAATTAGCTTATTTTAAAGCGGACCTAACGAGTGTATATAATTATGAAAAAACGCCGGGCATTTCCCTCTCATCCTTGCGTCATGCATAAAAATGTGATTAATCTCACTCGGAGGCATGAATGGACTATTAACGGGCTAATATCGTACTGTTGCTGTTAACGAACTTTTTGCTGTAATAAAACCGCGTATCGTTCGGAACGGTACAACGGCACTCCATTCTGACCGATCAAAGCGTTTTGTTCCCCGGCGAATTAATCAATTACCTGCGTTTAATTTAGTTTCCGAAGGGAAGAGGCGCAATCGATAAATCATTACACGAACACGTAGGGAAATAACAAGTATCAATCTATCAGAATGCAAGCGCGATTTTATTGATGACTTTTCCACAACTTCCATTTCTTTTTTTTTTTTCAATCTGTACATTCCTCCGTCTGCAGTTTAATTTACGAAATCATTCTGTTATCATCCACGGCAGATGTGCGTAAGTAACCAACGTCATCGATCGATTATAAATTGAACTTTGATCGTAAAGTTGATGGCACATAATTCCGTCGATCAATATAAGATTTTATCGAAAAGATATTCTAGTTAGGGAAATAGCGATACAATCTTCATTATTTATCTTTAGATTGCGGATTACAGATTACTTGACAAATTTGTAATTTTTTTCTAACGGTTGATTGCTTAAACACTGTTGAGGAAGAAAATCTTACGGAGGAGCTTGTATGGAGAGAGAGAGAGAGAGAATGTATGTGTGTGAGAGTGAGGTAATCTATTAGATAATCTAAAAGTAGAGCACGTTTGGAGGAAACAATGAGAATGCAAACATTACTTTAGACAAGAAACAGTGTATTGAAGATACGTGATACGTTTACGCTCTGAGCACTTCTCAACCTTGTTGACTGTCTTAAACTACATTTAGACTGACCCTCGACAATCCTTGCCAAGAATTTCTCCACCGGATCGAATTTGCAACTTTGTTGATCAATAAACCGACCGAATCTCGCTGTTGGAAATTTATTTACATCGATAATAAACGAAGTTAACCCGCGGAGAGAACCGTCGATCAGCGCAAACCGTTCGTGCCTTAATGCGCGCGATATGTGGACAGGGAAAGGCCCGAAGCCTCGGTTTCGAAGAAATTGGAAATACCGTGACGAATTCCGCAAAAGAACCTTAAAGTCACGCACGACCGGCGTTACATTGTAAGCCGTCGGACAAGACGGTGATAACGCGAGCGGCGATAAATGAAACATTAATTGGTTTCGGAGCACGTGTACGTATATATTTTGCAACGTCGTTGTTATCGATCGGCAGATATCTAAAATGTGTTACGTGTTCGGAAATGTATTACGTCTCTTCCGGGATTGCTTTTTTTGTGGCTGACACTACTCCCCGTATATCTCATTTCTTCGATATTTCTCCTTGCCATTATAAATAAAATGAAAAGTCTAAATTGCGATGGAAAGTCATCTCATAAATTATAGGTTATTATAGCACAAAATGTAATTTGTGACATGCAATGCACGTAATTTCCCCTCTCTCCGATTTTTTTTTTACAATAAGACTTTCCTCACAAAATGTCGCAAGATCTTAATGAAGATCGTAAAGTAGAAAAACGGGTAATAAATCAAAGTAACAACAGTGATGGAGACCACACCGGACGCGAGCCCGGTCTTTCTCGCGTAAATGGTATACATCGGCATATCGGGCATTCGTGCGAAACGATTAGCAAGCCGCATACGCGCCTAGAGATCACGCTGGAGGCATGCGTCAGAGTAGGATAGGTCAATCAACCCGAGTAATCGCAAATAACAAGATTTGCGTTGCTAATAAAGTCCCTCTAAGACCCGCTCTATGACCGGCTCAATTAGTGCCGATCGATCGATTCGCGTGCATAGCGCCGATAGATGCTACGAGGAGCCATGATTGCTGTCAGTTCGCGTAAACTTCAGGAAACGATTGCAAAAGGACGACAGAATTCAGATGACGACGACGGGGCAATGGCCATCATTGATAGAACTGGATGTTGGAACAGGACTTGAATTTATTGATCTCATGAAGCAAGTACACTCTTACATATTGACATTTCTATTTATTCCGCGTTATCTGAGATCCCTCGCTTTGCTCCTCCCCGCCTCGAAAAGAGATAAATAAGGAGAAATAATATTCGTAGAAACGGAGATTGTTGTTCTTCCAATAACTTAAAAAAAGTATTTCTTTCGTTCTCTGAAGTGATATAAAAATTAAAAATCCCTTTATATTTGAGGCACGAACTGTTCTACTTTCCACGGCGATTATCGTTCCAATGAAACGGTTATCAGATTGCTACGCCTTCCGTAATTTTTCATAGATTATATATCGACAGCTAGCAACCGTTCTTATCGTGTTAACGGAGCGAGGACGGGAGTGATTCAAGACCGTGCGAGGACCACATGTGGCGGTCGCCGTGCCTGAAATAATATATCCATTGCCTGCCAATGGAAGCAATTAGGAACAATATCGCCATGCTGACATACATTTTGCGGCGCGAGACGGCAGGCGCGATCGTCGCATGCAGGCGTCGCTCAAAAGCCAATTCAGACGAAACGACATTTTCTAACGTGTTTTCTAACGAGTCGTCGTACCAGTCGTCGAACGCACCTCTTATAGTTGACAGTCTCCTAATAAAGGTGTTGTCCTGTCAAATGCCGAGGTCACAACGCGAGTTTTGCTAATTGTTCAATTTCCGACAAAATTTCCCCATTTTCCCACATCCCGTAAGGGAATTCAATCGAGCACTCAAAATATATCAGACATTAAATTTTAAGCAAGAACTTTGTTCTTTCCAAAAGAACAAAGTCGATAAAAAATTTTTACATCACTTCATTTCCCTTATGAAATCTCCTACTGATTTCTATCGTACACTATTAATCATTACTCTTATGCTCAGCTTTTGTAATATGACACTTTAACCTGTTTATTTTTCGAATCAACCAACAGTCCACCTTATTCGGCTTGTCTGCAATGTTTCAGATTTGATTGATCGATTTTATAAATCTTATCTGTTTAATATTTAAATTAGAGGAAGAAAAACTAAAAGATATTAATTTTAAAAATACGTACAATATATGTACTCTGACACCAAGAGAATAATAATCTCATGCATTAACCTTCGCAGAATGCCTTACTGGAGGATATCGAGATCATCATGTATTAGCATATAAAGA